AACCCCAGCATGTGCTCTCATAGTGCCATGTAGCTCCTCCTTCACAGAGCTCATCTAATCCATAATGATAATTTTATATGGGGCTCCATTTGATGAGTCTGTCTCCCCTTCCAGATTGAGCCCCACGAAGCTTACCAAGTGTCAGCGGATGCTCACAAACCTCTGTCTGGCTGCAAGGGGAGGCTGCGAGATGGGTTAAACAGGAAAGAAAGGAGAAGAAGCCACCTCTCACCTACCTTGGACATTTCCTGCAGGGTGGGCAGAAATTTTCAGAATGCCCAGACCACACACTTAGCAGGGTCTGCTCTGATCCTGGACCTTCCCCAGCTGGAGCCTATTAGCTCCAGACCCTCTCACCCTGCCCTCTTCCCAGAGATGGGACAATTCTAGAGGTGTGTTGGGAAGGGGATGCATTTCATGGAGCCAAGCTTTAGTCTAAAGGAAACAATAATGGAGACATTTCAGACCTCTGTCAGAATAGCCATGGGTGTTTTGGGGCTTTGTGCTGATAAAGGTTTGTTGAGTGACTAACATCCAACGAGGGAAATTTTTCCTTCTCTTAAACAAGTAAATAAAACCATTTGTACCACAAGAGGTAAGGGGAAGGGACAGAATTTGCACAAAACAATAAATTTGTTGACCATGGTAAGGTAAGATCAGAAATAGCATCACATCTGTCCAGGTGGCTCACATTTATTAAGCAGGTCCCAGGTGCCATGATCTGGACATACACAAGCTCATGAATGCTCACCCCAGCCCTAAGAGGTTGGGGTGACAGTCTCACTGAGACTGTCTCCTCAACACTTTTCCCCATTTTATGGATGAGAAAACTGAACCCAAGAAACTTGCCTAATGTCACACAGTAAGGAAAGGACAGAGCTGAGATTTGCACCCAAATCTGTACAAATCTAGATCTATCCAGAGCCATAATCATTAGGGGCAAGCTGCTTAATTCTCTGTGCCTCAATTTCTTTATCCATCAAATAGGGCTAATAATAATCTCATCTCATTGGGAGTAGTTTGAGGAATAATTAAGTTACTATGGGCTAAGACTTAGGACAATGCCTACAGTTAGTACATGCATATACTTCAGAAGCATTTGCTATTATTTTTAAAATTCTGAAACCTGTTCCAAGCCAGCACGAAATGATAGGGGACCCCAGCCCCACCACTGGCTGCCGCTCCAGGCATTGTCTTTGCTGCCATTCAGCTATTATTAGGTGCAGTATCCTCATCTTAAATCCAGATGGGGAGCTAGAAAGGCGGGCAGGGCCAGGCCTGGCTGGAGGATGGCTGGGAATACTGCTGGAAGGCCCATTCGGGATTGGGCTCCACCCTGCCTGCCCTCCCTTGCCTGCAGCGGGTCCAAGCCGCCACGTCTACACTTGGCTCTGAGGTCTGCACGGAGCACTCCCTCCCACTGTGGCCGCCTCCTCTGGGAAGGTTTAGAGCATTTCCACAGCCTCAGCACTTTTCTTTCTGCCCCAAGGAGGCCGGGCCTGCATAGAAACTATAAACTGGACACTGCGTGTCTCTGGAGCCTGCAAAGAGGCCATGCACTCTCTTGTCTAGAGGTCTTAATGCCTCTGATGAGGCCTACTGGGTCCACCAAGGGTAAAGGGCCCACGTAACTCGGTTCAAGTCCCAGCTCTACCACCAACATGTTGTGTCAACTTGGACAAGTGACTTACCCTCTCTGAGCCTCAGTTTATCTGTAAAATGGATATAATCTTAGCACCAACCTCCCCAGGGCTGCGGTGATGATTAAATGAGTAAATGGCACATAGTAGGCATTCAATATGTGCCAGTTACAGTACCTTCATGCTTGGACATGCCAGGCCCTGAGGGGAAAACAAGGGATGTGGGAAACTGGGGATCTGGGGTGCAGAGTGATGCCACCCCAAATTTGTGGCGTGACCTGAGCCTGACCCTTGCCTTCTCTGGAACTCAGATTATCCATGAAAACCACAAGGTGGACAACTAGGACTTTGTGATGCCAAGATTCAGCTTCTGCGCACACAAGAAATATGACAGAGATCCCAAATGGCAGATGGCAGGGTACTGTGGTTAAGACCAAGGGTTCTAGGTTCAAATTTTGTGTGGGGTGCTGGCATGACTTGGTCTCACTGAGCCTGTCTCCTCATCTGTATAGTGATGATTCTACCTCACAGAACTCAAGCTGTGAGGGTCATGATAATAACAAAATTGCCACTCATGTATTATAAGGGTGATCTGGAGCCGGGCTCCAACCCATTGGACAGCAATTACATGGGGCCCCTGCCATGAACCTAGACCACATCAGGCATCAGAAAACCCCCCGGAAGTCACAAGAGATCCAGGCTGGCCCATCCAGAACCCTCTCCTTTGTCCATGAGGCTGGTCTCCTGGTGTTCATCATAGTTTAGTGGGTGTCTCAGGACCCTTAAGGTCTCCTTCCTGGGGTCCACTTGCCTCCAAGTTTCCTTCACTGAAGAGTCACTCCCTTCCCATTCTTCAGCACCAGGGGCTGGACCTTCTTCTCATCCAAGGCCAGAAATTTATCTGGCACTGTCACTCAGAGAACGTAGCAGATGGATGACAACATGGAGACAGCCTTGCCACACTGGTTTTCCAAATGGGTCCCCAGCCCCACTCCTGGGGCTGCTGGCCATGACCCTAGGAGCTTTCACTTCTGCCCAAGACAAGGAGAGTCACAGCCCATGTATCTGGTCAATCCCGACAAGAACCAGTTCTCCTCTAGAGACCCCATGCTCTTCTAGCCTCACCTACCTGACTTTTCTCCAACGAAGTCTTCACAGTTCTACCTCCCTTCCTTTGCTCAGGCTGTCCCCGCTCCAGGCTGCCTTTCCGCATTCCCTCAGCATGCCAAACAGCAAGTGAGGGCTTTGTCCTCGACAACTTTTAGAATCTAGACACTGTCTCTCCCCCTACTCCCACTATGTTATGAGACCCCAACAGCAGGCCCAACTCGGACCCATCTCTAACCTTTCCATCCCTCCCAGTGCTCAGCAGCCTCTGGACTCCCTCATAGGCCCAAAGTCTTGGCCTTGGCTGGCCTCACAGCCACTTGTGAGCACATCCCAAAAGGGTGGTTTCCCTGATAGTCTTGGAGGGAGAGGGCTTAATGAGCTCGAGCCACAATTCCCGCATTGTGCACATGAGGAAACTGAGGTTCCAAGAGGACCAAAATTTGGCCTGAGGTGGAGCCAGGGCTAAGATCCCTTACCCCTCTTTCGTCCCAACCCCAGGCCTCGGCTTTTTCTGCAGGATCCTGGCTGGGGGAGGGGAAGCAGGGTGATTCAGGGATCTGGCACTGCCAGCTTGGTACAATATTTATTCTCAGACTCAGGCACTGGAGCAAAATATTACCCTTGGCCCCTGAGCTGTTCCAGCCGTTCCCCACTCTGCCAAATCAGGGTTGGACCTGGAGGAATCTGGACCCTTCCTATTATAGCGCCTAGCCTTAGGAGGACCTGAAGTGAGCCAATCCAATCCATTCCCCTTCTTTTACAGATGGACAGACTCAGGCCTCTCTAGTGTCATCAAGATCTGTTCACCCTGCTCATCTGTCATTCAGGGGGCTTCACAGATGGGACCACCCCTACCTCCATTTCCTGCTCCATCCACACCCTATCTCTCCTCCTTTTCCCATTTACAAACCTCTCAGCCTCTACTCACACTGTTCTTCTGCCACAAATGCCCTTCCATGCCTTTCCTCCTCTTTTCTGTGGGGGTGAATTTCTTTTCACTCTTCCTCAAGGATCAGTTCGCATATCACCACCTTCGAGGAATCTTCCAGGATTTCCTTCATCCTAGAGGCAGCAAGGTAGAGTAGTCCTGTCGGATTCCAAAGGGGCTTTGACATGGGCAAAATCCCACTCAGGTTCGAAAGCCATTACCAGCCCCAGGTGCCTTCACCTTCCAGAGCTTCAGCTTCCTCCTCTATAGAATCCCAGTAATACTTACCTTGCACAGTGGTCAACTTGCAATAGGACAAACTGTGTGTCTGACATTCAATGGGTGCTCAATAAACGGCCAGGACCCACCTCACGGAATGTTTACGCACTCCTGGGCTATGGCTGGAAGCTCCCCGCAGCGCAAGGGGTTGCCCTTTGATCTTTGCGTGGTCACCACCACTACCACTATCCCGCCCCGCCTCCTACTGGGAGGAAAGGTAAGAGGTAGGCAAATAGGAGGATCCCAGCCCTGAGGGCTTGCGGCGGGGAGGGACCCACGTATCTCTTGGGTACAGCCAAGAACTCTTCAGCGAGTGTGCGACACGTCAAATCGGTATGCAGAGACTCACCTGAGTGGTTCCGCCTGAGGGAGCGGAGCTAGAATGAAGCAGGCCATTCATTGGCGCCGGGAGCCGCCACTCAGACAGGTCAGGTCCTAAGCATCCCAGGAGGCCTAGGTGTGCCCCTCCCCAACCGGTTGTTCCAAGGACGCGCGAAGTTTGAAGCTGGAGCGACTTGACCTTGGGGGTAGCTGATTCTCGTTCTAAAGAATAAGATGGCCTCTAGGTCTTATAAAGAGGTACTAGGTGGGCCTGCCCGGGAGAAGGGGACCTCGAAATATAGCCTCCAAATTGGGCTGTTTGCTCCTCCTCCCGTGTGACTTTCTGTGCCTTGATTTCCCATATGTAAAATGGGACCACCTCTTATGGATGTAGGAATGAAATGATACCTTTAAAAGAGTCTCAGAGTGTATACTGGCCCTCTCTCTAGTTGGGGGTAAGGTGAGGGAATAAGGTGGGTGGCCACAGAGAATATGGACGGTGGGGCTGAGGGGCTTTGCTGGGAGCAACAGGCTGAAACCACTTCCCCACAACCCATCATAGTGGTTAAAAGTACAGATTCTGGACTCAAAAGGTGCTGGTATGAATCACAGTTCCACTACCTATCAGCTGTTATCCTTAACTGTAAAATGGGACAGTAACCCTGGGCTCAAATGGTCGTTATAAGAATTATATGCCTGCTACTTGGCAAGTACAAAATAAATGAGTTGATATTATTTTTATTTAACAGACAGGACTCCAGAACCCACCTCCCAGGCTCCAACTCCCTTTGGTCTCCATGGAGACCTGTGTGTAGGAGGCTCCCGGCCTCAAGCAGGAAAGATGGAGTGTCTTTCCTCAGTAGGTCTGAGCTATTTGGCTAATTCCTTGTGTTGCCTTGGTCATGGTGGCTCTCTCTGGGCCTCAATTTCCTCCATTTGTTGAATGAAAGTCTGGACTCCGTATTCCCATTTTAGGACTCCAGCGCTCCAAGAGGCTGACCCTGAGGGGCTTGGAAGGGAGAAGCATGACAGATGAGGGCAATGTTTGTGCAAAGGTGTGTCGGCTGAGGAACGGGTGCTGGGTGACTGATGCAGCTCCATCTGAGATGGTCCTTGAGATGCTCCAACATAGGGGTCAAGGTAGTCTCTGCTCTGAGGTGGCACCGACCAAGTGCGCCCGAAAGCAGCCTGGGAACGACCGCCAAAACCGCCACTGAGGCGAAGAGGGGGAGGAGTCGGGGGAGGGGACATGGTCTCATGAACAAAGAGGAGGGCGGAGAGGGGCTATCCGGAAGACTCTGCTACTCCGACGATCCCGGGCCACTTACCCGGGCTTTGGGCGCCCTCCTGGACTTTGGTGCAAATCTACGTCCTCCTGCCGATGCCCACCCGAACAGCCAAGGACACTGAAGCAGTAGTCCCCGGACTACAATCCCCTACAACTCAGGTCCGCGAGGGGCGAGGCCGTCAAATTGAATTTTCCCAATGGGACACGAGAGTGGGCGGGCCCCTCCCGGGGATTGGCTGGCGTGGCGGTGAGGGGTGGGGTCGGTGGGGCTGCTGGCGCGGCTGGACGGGCGGTGCTTCCAGAATCCCGGGGACGGTTGCTGAGACAGTCTGGGATCCCTGTCACCGCGCCTTCTTCCTGACCGTTCGTAGTCCTGTCGGATTCCAAGCGACCTAACCTGAGCCTACGCGCGACGGCGGGCCATACTGAGAGGTGGGTGTGTGGGCCTCCGGGCGGCACCAGAACCTTAGACGGGTCGGGGAGTGGAACCCGGATATCTGGGCAAGGATTCTAGGACTCGTAGACTTGGTAGCCCCCACTCATCCACGAGGGCTCTAAACCATGGGATAAGGTTCTGAGACCTGGAGGTTCCACAACCCCCAGGGGTTCTAGTATGTTGGGGCGGATACCCTGGGGAAGTTCCCATATTCCTCTTGAGGCCTCCCACAATCTCGGGGAAACCAAGACTGTGACAGGGAGCCATGAGACGAGTGAGGCAGCGGCGGGAATGTGTTGGGGAAAAGAAACTTCCTACCGTCCGCTGGAGGTTTTAGATTATGGATTGGGGACCCTTGCCCCTCAGAAGACTTGGAGGAACTCAGTGACCACAAAACCTAAGTCGGGTGATTGTTGAGTTACACTCTTAGGGGTGTTTTCCCAACGCAGGTAGATCAGAAGCAAGAACCCCTACAGAGGGAGGTTGGGAAGTTAACATCTGTCTGGGACTACAGGGATGGGAAAAGCAAGCAGCAACTTAGACAGGCAGGGTCCAATGAAACCCAACTGTTTGAATTAGGATTCCCCCAGACCCATTCACCAGACTGGGTGACTCAACAAGTGATTGTTCTGGGGAGGGGAAAGGGATGACTGAGGGATGAATCGACAAGAACAGGGTAATCTGGAGCCATTTCAGTCACCATATATTAATTGAACACTTATGGCATGTCAGGCTGTGGGCCCTCGAATTCCAGAAAGACATTAGAGCTGCAGAAGGAAGGAAGGAGCTGCACTGAGAGGCTGGGCCAGGTTTTAGGGGGCCATTTTGATGGGTACTAATGGGGCAAGAGGGGCTCTCCTGAGCCCCTGGGGGGCACTTTTAAAGGGGGCTTCAGAAGCCAGAGGTGGCCAAGATTTTGATTAAATCCATCTCTGCCCTCTAGGTCTTTGGGATCCTCCTTCCCCCTGTGACAAATCTCTGATCCTCTCCAATCCTGTTTGCCTAAGTCCACAGGTTGGATGGGTCAGCTTCTGAAGGCCCTTCCAGCTGGGGAATTGAATCCTCAATGCGTGAATTGGCAAAAGGAGCTGGGTGCCTGGACACCTTGCTTCATGGGGTCAGGGCACTTGGCATCAAGGGGAAGGCAGAAAGGGGAGGAGTGGAGAGGGGTGTGTACAGAGGGCTGTTCTCAAGAATTGGAAGACTGGGTATTAACCTCCAAGACTTAAATCACCTGGGGGAATGAGAGTGGCAGTGGCTTCAAGGACTTTGATGTGGGCTCAGCCTAAAGCCAAACACTGAGCTTTCAGGGTGGATGGGGCTGGGCTGGCCCTCCAGGATAGGTGGGTGGGGCAAGAAGCTGTGGAGTCTGATGGGCACCCCCTGGTGGTGAGCACAGCTTGGATAGGCCTTGCTGGGGCCCAGCTTCTCAATCCAGGTTCCTACCCTCCCTATTTGAGGCTTAGGGCGAGGGCCCAATTTAGGCCACACAGCAGTCTTGCAGTTGAGTTGTCTGGGCTAGAACCAAGGACTCTTGGTTTGTATTCCACTACATTACCCTAGAGTAGAGGGCAACTCCCAGCCAGGAACCACATCACAGGTAGCAAAGATGGGACATCAATGAATGACCATGGGTTAGAGGGGGAAACTGAGGCACAGAGCCCAAGTGCCAGTGGTTTCTAGAGGCCTCAGCTGGCCTGACTCATGTCTGTCCCCTGCAGAATTCCTTGAGCTGGTATTAGGTGCCACGAGCACTGGGGATCTCACCAGGAGGGGACCGACGGAGCTACAGGCCAGGGAGATGGCGGACGAGGCCTTAGCTGGTCTGGACGAGGGAGCCCTGCGGAAGCTGGTAAGTAGCCCCATCACCCCCACTGTAAGGACAGGCAAGCCAGGCCAGAGAGGCAAGGCCTTCTAGGCCACCTCTCAGCTGACAAGAGGAGGTAATGGGGGAGGGGGCAGGAGGAAGGCTTAGGGCAACAGGGCTAGGCCTGTTCTGCATGGCTGATGCAGAGGCCCCAGTGGCATATGCCTGTCCATTCTGGGTGCTAACTTCCGGTCCTTCCCAACCCCCCACTGCCACCACCTGTTTAAACAGTAACTGCTAAAATCTCACGCATGTGCAGGCACTGCAGGTGTGGGGAGACTAGATGTGCCTCTCCCAAGCAACAGGCTGGGCAGTGCCCACCCCTGGAGGCTGGCCCAATGATTAAATAATACCAGGCACAGCAGGGTGAAGGCTGGATGCTGGGCATACCATCTCACAAAATGATCACAGCACCTCCGAGAGCCAGGAGGACACTGTCCCTCAGATAGGTGAAATCACCTGCCCAAGGGCCCCCAGCTAAGAATTGTGTGCCAGGATCCAAACAAACTCCAAAGGGGGCCATGGAGAACCAAGAGTCCTGAGTAAGTCAAGGCCAGAAGAGCCCTCATAAACTCTGTGACTTATAGTCTGTTTTCCATTCTGAGCCTGTTTCTTTACCTGTAAAATGGGAGGGGAGATGTGTGTGAACCTAATATTTAGGTCCTAGAGTTGGCATGGAGATGGAATGAGGCATGGACCCAGATCTTGAGGTGGAAGGGCAGGCCCACTCTATTCCCTTTCCCCAGCTTCTTCTTGAGTGCCCTATCTAACACTTAGTCCCCCACCCCGCTAGCATGTACAAAGCAGCTAAGGGCAACACCACAGGACAGGCAAGGGCAGGGAGCAGCTGAACTAGATGAAGGACCAGAGCCCCAGCTCCTGACCCTTGTCCAGGGGAAAGAATTAAAAATTTACCTTCCCTAGGAGAAGACAAGTGAAACACCCCACCCCCTCACCATTCCTCCAGAAGCAGGAGCTGGAACCAACCAGCCCAGCCCAGCCCAGTCACTGGGCAGTGCGCAGCCACTGCCATGACCTACCAACAAGGCACTAGGTCTGTATGTCCTTAGACCAGCACCTTAGACTCTCTGAATGTCTGCCTCTGCCATAACCGGCCATGTGCAGCCTGGAGGGGATGGGTTGGGTTTCTAAAGGTCAGCTCGACCTCTGCTCAGTAAGTGAAAATCCTAACAGGTAACAAACAGAAGCAGAGTGTTCCAGAGAGAAAGCCAGGTCTCCATGCATGCCCATCTCTAGGGATTCCCTGTGAGGCTCATGGTTCTCCAGCCACCACCCCCAACCCAACGAAGGATTTGGGCTCTAGGAGAGTGTTTTCAGAGAAACCTAAGCCGTAGTTGTAGTCTGCCCACCCCCCGCCCCGCTCCCTAGGGAAGGATTAATAAGACCCCGCCTCTCATCCCGGGACCGTAAAGCTGCACGAGGTCCTTCCCATCCTGGCCCGGCTCCTCCGCCACCTGGTCCCGGCCATTACTTGGCCCAGGCACTGCCAAGAGTCTTGTCCTGCGTGCGGGCCGGTCTCGTGGCAGAAATGGGGGCGTCCCAAGCCAGGCTCCTCCCCGTGGGGCCGGGCCTTATAAGGAAAAGCTGACCCGCGCCCCACCGTCGCGCGGATTCGGGGATCCGGGTAGCCGCTTCCGGCCTCGGCTCTTGCACATTCCTGAGGACAGGCGGGGGCTGTGTGGGATGGGGCACCTAGGGACATGCACGCCGCGTGGCTCTTAGCCTCCGTTCCAGGTTCAAGTTAGGGTTCGAACTCTGACACTCTCTAGCTGGGCGACCTTCGAAAGCTGCTTCAGTTCTATGAACCTCGATTTCCTCTCTGTAGCCCGGGGCTTCCGGTCTGGCACCCCCAGCCCCCCCATAGGCGCCTAGCGTGGGGCTGCATCGGCGAGGCCTTGGAAGGGTCGGCGGTTCCGAAGCCCGCGGGCCTTCAGCGCCCCCTGGCGAGGCTTCGCTCCACTGTCAGCTGGTCTCCTTTACTTAACTGGAGGAGCTGGGACTTAGCGTTGTGTTGGTGGGGAGACTGAGGCCCAGAGAGACGCCAGTGCCTGTGAGATGCCCCCAGCAACAAGAACAGAAAGTAACCGGAGGCCCGGCCCTTAGGAGGCGGAAGCGCCCTCTTTCCTCCCGAGAGAATTTCACTGGTCAGTTTCGGAAACCGCCCCATCCCTTTCCCCTTCCCCCTGGTGGACAATGGCTCTTTGTACTTCCTTCCCTCCCTCCCACAGCCCCCTCCACACATTGCGGTGGGACCTGATAGGGCAGGGAACACAGGATACACAGCAGGGACACTGTGGGCGAATCTTTGCCTCCATGCCCAAGAGAAGGGTCATGGTGGAGGGTGACCAGTGGAATGAGATTGTCCATCCCTCAGCCCTACCCCACCCACTTTGGGGAGAATCAGTGGCTCCCATTTTTCAGATGGGGACACTTAGGCTCCCATGGGTTTTGAGGTGGCCAAGTTCCCATATCAGGGTTTTTCCAGGGATAAAGACCCCATCTCTCAAGCCCAGGGCATTGGGAAAGGTGACCCAGAAGACAAAGAGCTAGTTACTACATGTCTGAGCCTCCTCTTTACCTCTGCACAGAGAGGGCTGGGCCAGCTGTCCCCTCAGGCCCCCCTATCTCCTAGTGTATCACAGAGAGCTCTGGGCCTGAGGCAAGGCTAGGACTAGGAGGTGGGAAAGTAAGCCTCATTCTCCCTGCCTCGGCTATAATAGGCCCCCCTTACACCTTTTATAGGTATTTCTTGTCCAGGCTAGATGGGGTCCCCAGCACAGTGCCAAGGTTCTTGAGGTACCCACCGATGTAGACGGACCCCAGCAACAGAGCTATCCTCAGCCCAGGACAGACCCTGGAATCAGAGAGACCTGATTCAAATCTAGGCTTGGGTCATTTGACCAAGAGCAAAT